AGTTTGGCTGACTTGGGTTTCGACTCCGTCACGAAGTGTATCAGTAGAGCATCATTTGCTCCAACCTTGCTACACTGAGGTTGTGTTTTTATCGTCCATCACCTGCAATGATGCACATGCAACCCCAGAAGTGCCTACTAATTTCTTTTGAAAGTATGGATTGCTGGGTATTGGAAGTGCACAGTGTTGTGGGGTTATCTTTTGAAAAATACTCTGGACGGGATAGACGCTGAACATCTTTATGGATCAGAAGGTACCCTCTGCAAACTTACATACATTAAGACCTAATTTTCAATATCTCTGTGTATAGAAAAGATAACGTTCTGTCAAGTGGCCATCTTCCATCTTTTTCACCAGTCATTTCCTATACAAACTGTGTCTCACATTGCCTGTGTAAGACACATTTTGCCTGTTAAAGGTATGTTGTTAGGGGAATATCTTTTTATTCTGTGAATTAATAGAATGCTGGCAATGATTAATGGTGAAAATGATCCAGAAATATGCCCACAAAATCTGTCTTAATACAGGTTCAAAGACTAATTTTCTCAGCATTGGCACAGAGATTCAAGGAGCTTGTTCTCCAGTCCCTAAGGATGACTTAAGCTATGATACAGGAATATAGATTGAAACCAAAACCATAAAAATGAGGATATAAAGAACAATAACAGCAAGAATAAATAACAATTTGTTTTCTCCAGCTTATAGATGCATTTTTCCATTTAGTCACTTTGTACTTCATCCATATAAAGCTTGGTGGCTGATTTAGTCCAAAATAGGCACTGCTTCAGTAGCTAACTTGGGTATGCTTGTTCACAAAAATCAGACAGAAGATTCCCCTGGAAAAGGTGTATAAGAAGCCAATAAAATAAGTGTAAAATGGTTGCATCAGTCACATATGCACAATTATTTGGTTATTCAAATGCGTGCTCATTTAATGCATTTATGTTCTGTTATTCCTAAAGAAAACACAAAGGAGACCTAGAATTTCTTTTTCACCTAGACTGGTGAAAAAGAAATCAAACACTGATTTAGAATATGTCCTTGGCATAAAAACAAAATCAATCTACCATCTTTACATGTAAATTAAGAATTTGAAGTTATATTTAAATCACTGGGGGAAGGGAAGTGTTTCGGTTGAGATGAACTGTTTTCATCCCAATTCTTTTTAATGGAGCCTGCAGCTGTTACCATCATGAAAGATGATTTCACACTCGAAATGTTACTGTTGTTTGGATATTCCTGCCTAAATTTACATTAAACCTGAAGCAGAAATAATGGAATGTGAGCATTCCCATGCATTTTGGTTGTGAACACACTTAAAAAATCATCATTGTTAACTAAGGGAAGGACTGTAAACAGTTACTTACAAATAAATCTATTTGCAGGAGGTCTCTGTATTTAAAATAAAGAACTGTTCTAAGCATATAGAGGATTTAGACATTCACATTTTCAGGAACATATTGGAGGGCCTGTTGGGAAGATCATGACTGGTTTTATTGCATTGTACCTGAAGACAGGCTGAGCTCTCATTAGTCTGGGAAATGCTATGCCAGGCAATTTGTCTGAGAGAGATGACTCTCACGAGATCATGAACCATCGACAAAACAGTTGTTACATTGCGAAGTAGCCGGAGTCTTCACAAGGAAGGAAGGATGCTTTGAATTGTATGTATAAACAAGCACTATTCTCCTCTCTGTATATCCATGCATTTTCTTTTTAAATCAGTGTGGTAGTCTCAGACTTAATTAAATGAGAGATTAAAAAATTCTGTTAACTGTGCGCTCCAGCCTCAGCCACAGCACACTCCTTAGCAGCACGAATGCAGGCCTGTCGTATTTTGGGGGGCTTTCCTTTAGGACCAGGCAAGCCAGTGTTTCACCTTAATGATGAATGTGGACTCTACTGAAACATTGTTTCCCAGATCCAAGGAAAGCATGAGCTGTTTTTTCTAAAAACTAGGCGAGTGGAAAAAACTGCTTTTTCTCCTTGTAAGAAATACATTTTTTTTTCATTCTTGAGCATGAAACTAAAAATGTGTAAAAACAAAACTGGAATTTTCAGTATCGTGCAATTTTCTGATTACTTTACAGCATTGTTCAGCTGATATTTCACTGATATTTCAACAGATTGTTTTGTTTGGGGCAGGGCAAAATTTTCTTCTACTTGTGCTAATGTTTCTCTTCAAGCTACAGCATTTGCTTAATCCATATACTGCGCTGGTGCTAAAAGGAGAGAAAGAAAATGGTTGTGGCTGTGCCTTGTACCACTGAAGTCAGTGGGAACTTTGTCAATATTCAGAGGGAAGGAGATTAGGACCTGTAAAGACTCCTTAACCAGTTAAAATAACTCTTAGTTTCTTTTATTACTTTTCCGCTTCCTTTGCCTTTGGCCCTGGCTCTTATCCTCTTATTTACATAACCAATAACCATGAGAAGCCGAATTAATTTCAGGTGTGAGACTGCCAAACCAACTTTGAATTTCTTTGACTGTTCCGACTCCTTGTACTTTCAGCTCAGTGACGAGGGCCAGCGACTAACTAGGTCTTAGCAGCGGAGATGCTGGTGACTCATTGCTTGGAGAGCTGTCTCCCGTTTAGAGTCATCTCTCCGTGTCTACATGCATCATAGCAGGTATCCATTCTCTCATGAACCACTTTATTTTCTCTTCTTATTAGATATGCAACATGTCATACGCTTTACTTCCAGTCAAAGTGATCAGAGAAGATCTCATACTCCCACTGTAAGTGACCGTGTAATCAAATCCTGAGAAAGTAGTAGGGAAGGGACCCAGAAGAAGAGGTTGAGAGGGAACAAAGCAGTAAGATAGGGTGGACAGCTGGCAAAACGGTGGAGAGAAAAGGAAAAAAAAGGTGTGAAGAATAATCTCTAGAGCATAAGACTTCAGTTGAGAACTGAAAGTAATTTCAAGGCTGAATAAAAGGGAGAGACAGGTGAGAATAATGAAATGGTAAACCCACACAAGCAAACTAGAAAGATATAGTCAGGACCAAAAAACACAAATGACAAGCAGAAAAAGCAAGACACAAAATGTTCCTATGTGGAAGCCAGCACAAATGATCAGGATAGCAACTTGACGTACTTTTCAAACGTTTGAAGGAAAGAAAATGAAGGAGAGAAATGAGGAATATGAGAGGAAAAAATAAGAATATGGCAATACAAAAGACTGGCTTCTATTAAATAATTTCTCAGAGTATCTCTTGCTGTTCAAAGTATAAATCAATCAATACGAAGTAACCTTAAAATGAGAACGATGGTGAGGGTGCTCAAGCCCCCATTGCAGTCAGTGGGGCATTGAGCTCACCGGTGCGCTTGCTTTAGGACGAACTGCTCTGCTCTCTAGACCCCAGTGACAGCAGAGGCCCAGTTGGCTGAGGTCGTGGTTGACCATGGTGGGAGTTCAGCCACCTTGCTGCTGTGTGGACACCTACGTGTTGGAGCCTGAACCTGCGCGCTAGAACCCCGCTCCCAAGGCCATGCGGTGTGGGCACCGCTCTGAAGGGTCCTCTCTAAGCCAAGGCTCGCCGGGTACCGTGATGTGCTCGGGATCTTGGCCTCTGGCAGTTGTCCCAGCTGTGCCAAAGACTAAAACACATCTAAGGTGGCACATCTGAAACATCTAAGTGAGAACAGAAAACAAAAAAGTGGTCAGGCCATTTGTTCTTATAAGGAATAATTATAAAATCTAGGGCTGTGTTATTTAAAACGCAGTTCACTTCAAGTATGTTGACAATGCTCCCTCCTATATTTTCTGCATGTATTCTTACAAGACAAGTATTCTAAAGGCATGTGGGCTGGGAATTTGAAACTAGTCTGAGAGAGAAGAGTCAGTTTTTTTATTTATAATGGCAGGAATTTGCTGCTGTGTCTAATAGGACCCCTAACTTAAAGGATTTTGTTTATCTTATAAAGTAAAAATAAACATTACAGGTCAAATTCCTGTTTTCATAATAAATTCTTTAACCAAAAATAAAAAAAGGAAGAAAAATATTAATGAATGGAATTTTTCACACCAGAGTGATCTGATGCAGAGAAGACTTGCTATGTCTGTGGTTAAAATGGGATGAGGTTAATTTCATCTTCCCAAATGCAATCTCTTTCTCCAGTGACAGGACATAGTGTTTTGAATTTTAATTACAGAGGTGGATGGGTTGGATTTGGGTTAGGGTGTGGGTATGGATTTATAACCCTGTTCCTCCTTGTAAAAGCTGGGAAAACTTGTTGTCTGGGCCCATCTTTTCAATTAATTTGCAGTAATTAAAGTATGATGGGCGGGATGGGACTAAAGTGAAATGCAATTCAAATTTAACCTTTCTTCTTTGGTATCACCATCCTTATTTACTTTAAACTATCTTCAATGCTCTGATGAGTTTAAGCCTTCCTGTATCACACACTGTGCACGCAGAAATATTTGAGTGAACTGTTGCCAATAGCTCTGAGCAAGAGAGGGGCATGTTTCAGATTACACTGAGTTTTGTTGTTCTGATCTGATCTCCTTCCTAGGAGAGGCTGAGAAAGGCAGCTCTAGGGGATTTAGTTCTAGCAGCAGCAGCAGCACATGATCTATCAATCGCGTGATTCTCACCACCGAGGCCTAATGGGGAGGGTGAGGAAAAAGCTTACAGTGCCTTGCGGAAGCAACAGCAGCTTCTTCTGCTCGTGGGCCTCCTCCGCCGGCTGGACTCGTCCATGGCTTCTCCCAGGCTGGAAACCTACTGCTGCCCTAACCGAGATGCAGCCACGGAGCTGGTGATGACCTTCCAGCCCAAGGTCTTCTGTGGAGTCTGCATCGGCAGCGCCTCCGTCAGTCTGCTGCTCACCATCCTGCAGCTCCTGCCCAAGAAGGGACAGAGCCCACGGAAGATGCCCAAAGCCTCCTCCTCCGCCACCATCCTCCTCCTCATCTCCGCTTGCGACATCCTTGGTGGCCTAGGTAAGGACCAGCTTGATGTCGCTCACCATCGCGCTGGCAAGCTCACAGTGCTTTGAGATGCACCGGCCAGGTGGGCTCGTTAGTGGCCAACAGGAATTTCTGTGGGAAATTTCATGTACTTAGGGCAAGATCTGGGCTAAATGAGATCAGAAAAATGATGTTTTGGGGGGGAAAAATATGTTGCTTAATAGGTAAATTTAAAAGTAACAGCTCTTGATGCGTCTACACCAAAATCTATACTTTAAAACAAAGGAAAATCTGGAACAGTGTCTAGTTCTTAGAGGAACACATGGAAGTGGAGGCAAGGGAGAATATTTTAAGACTAAACTTAGCATCCAGAATATAGCTGATTCTAGGGACTATTAAAAGAACTAGCCTTGTATCTTTAAGTCCACCCCCACAAGGTTCACTCCGTTGTTCAAATGCCAGTCACTTTTCTGGGCATATCACATTGACAGTGAATTAATCTGCATTGCAGCCGTACACAGACCGTGCTGAACACTGGCTTTTGAAATGTGAGAGAAGCTCCCTTATCAAGGACAACCTGCTGCCCATTCCCTGAGCGATGGGATGCAGCAATAAAACAGCAGAGCTGGACACTCATTAGTCAAAATGAGACCGCTCTGCCTGAGTCTGTCATGTCGGTTCATGCCATTTACTGCCAAATGAGGTATAAATTTATACCACACTCACTGTGAAAATGCATGAGAGTTCTTTCTACAATAACATTTCTTTCCTCACATTAGATTTAAAAAAGTAGTACTGTCTCTAACTGGTAGGGAAGGGGGTTGGATTCTGGACCTTTATCCAGTATTTTTCACAGTGCTTAGTAAAAAACAGTATTAAAACAATTGATAGACTGGGAGAAAAAGACAGAGATGTAAAGAGTGTGTGTGCATCACCTGGAAAAGATCTTTTCAGTCAGATGAGGCCAGAAAGTGATAAAGTCGCTTTTCTCCCTTTCTCTCTCATTGGCAAAACTAGAAGTATTTATCCTGTGTTGTCTTTGAATTAGACTCACTTCAATAGGTAGGACACCTTTCTCACTTTCTCACCAGGGAAACCTGGTGGGTTTGTTACTCTATTTGCTAGCCACTTTCAAGCAAACACAGAAATTCTTGCTAGCAATCCATAAGTTCATTTAAAAAATGACGTTGTTCTCACCTAATTCTGAAATCCTGCTTGTGCAGTCCTTTAGTGAACAGGAAAAGCATTGCTTGTAAAAATTAAGATGGTGAAAAGTTGAAATTGCTTTTTTTGAAAGAGAAATTAAAGAGAAATCAGCATTAGCATGTGAAAATAAGCAGCCGATGGGGCTCAATCTGTTTTGGGTCAATCTGTTAAATGCTACCCAATTCATTTTACAAAAGTGTTTGACAGTATCTGTAGCTAAGTGAGATTTTGAGCTGCAGACCGCAGCATTTCAAGTCCCAGCAACTTAAAACTGTGCTGCTGCTTTCTCTGGGAGATTACACTGACATTTAAATAGTGCAGTTGTTTCCTGCTCTTTCCGTCGGCAGCTCTAGCCCTCTTGGTAAAGCACAAAATCTAGGCTACAATGTGAAAAATGCGCCCGGGAACAAGCATGTGACTTAAACCATGCTAACAGATTCGAAGCATTAATACATTTCTCCCTAGGTATGATCTTCAGATCGAGCGTATGGCTAGGCTTCCCAGGCCTCGTAGCTAACATTTCTGTGGTGAACGGGACCGACATATGGCCTTCTGCTTTCTGTGTGGGCAGCGCGGTAGGTACAAAGATCATCCCCGCTCTGTCTTGCTCGCAGTGCCTTTCTGCGGGCAAGCGGCTGCATCCAGAAGGAAATTAAGCTGTGAGTCAGAGTCTAAATGCGGTGCATTTCAGCCCCGGCCACACCTGCGCGTGTATTTTCATGCCTCCCCCTGGCAGCCCGGGCTCGCTGTGGGCGGCCTGCTAGGCACGGCGAGCGCAATGAGCGCGATGAGTGTCAGGGAGCGGGTAATAGCCCCAGCGCCTGCGTTTTAGGGCAGCCCTAAACCGAGGTCGGGGGCACGGCTGCATTAACAGCAGAGACGTTGCCAAACTGGCTGTGAAATCCCCTGGTGGGGCCCTTGCTGGCCCAGCACCACTAGTGACACTGTGACTGCAGCGCACCAGCAGTGTGGGCTTCTTTGGCCCCCTTCGCTGCCAAAATCGCATCCTGTGTTGATAGCACATTGTAAGGACCGACTGAATCCAGCAACTCAGGAGGGAACTTAAATTAGCTTTCTCAATGTGACACTGTGTTTTAGCCACACATGGACTACAGGATAAATATACCCACAGATACAAACCAGAGGTTTTCCTCACCGTGTATACTGTTTATGCTTGGATGCAGGTATTCATAAATGACTGCATCTGGTCAAATGCAATTAAGCATCTGCTGGTTTAAAAGGCATAGAGTATGAAAAAGCAAATGTATTCCAAAAGCACAAATTGAAACTCAGTTTCAAATATTACAATCACAGCTCTGAAGTATACAATGTGATTTTATTGGACAAGAGAAAAGGTCACAGGTCTCCAGTACATGGAGAATGGCAAATAAGACAAAACATCAATTTACTCAAATTTAGTAGGAATGTAGGGTGCCCAAAGAATAGAATTAGCTCTGTAACCCAAAGCTTACAATACAGAAAAGGATACGCTGCATAAAAACAACTATTCAGTGTCAGTGGATTTTATGTAAAACAATACCTTATACTATAACTTTCACACCTATATAAAGGGAAATAAGATGTTTTACTATAGATAAAGATATCAATCACACACACCTATCATTTCTCAATTTTCCATCATACATGTTTTAAGTTTTGCTTGTAAGATGCGGTGGGGTGTTTGTTTGTTTGTTTGCTTTTGTTGTTGTTGTTGTTTTTTCTTTAAGGAAAGGAAAAGCAATAACACCAAAATCTTGTAATAGGAAAGTTCTAGTCTAAAACCATGTTTCTATATGTCTTAAGTTTCAACTTCTGGCCCTTAACACAGGAAAGTGTGTTTTTAAACAGTCAGAAAGATGCTCTGTGTAGACTGTTTGTTTTTCATTTTGATCTCAGGTTATATGGTGAGTAGCATGGCAACCTACCGCAATTTCTATTTTTGCTTTCTTGGGACACAGCAAAAGTGCTGCAGTTCGACTCCCTTACTAAATTTAAATTTAATTATATTGAGTTGAAAAATGACCCTCCTTCCACTCTAACATATTCTCATGTGAGTTTATAAAATGTTTCTTCTTCTATATTAAATTTCTTCTGGTGCTACTGTTTTGTTTATGTGAAAACCAATAGAAATTTGAAAAAAGGTATCTCCTTTGAATAACACCCTGTGATTTGCAGATGGATACCCTCTCAGGCACTATTTTAAGATGTGACATTTTGAAAAAAAAAGTAGTATATGAAGATTTTCTTTCTTAGGTACATGTGGTTTTTATATTTTTGAGATGGTCTTGTCTATACCAGATTTTCCAGATGGAGAGACCCCACAGTTTACCTTTGATATGGATATGTGTACGTGTAATGAAGTGTTCATTTCTTAGCTGCAACAAATATGTGCAGGTGCAGATTAAGTTACAAACTGAGTGGAATGGATAAAGTGCCTTAGAAAGAAGACTGAATGTAATTTTACATTCAGACTCCTGTGCACTAGCAATATGCCACATTATTTGAATTAAATGCTGAATAATTCATGTCACAAATGACTAGATGTAGGGTCTACACCCATGATAAAAGGAAATATTTCCCAGCTTGGTTTACCTTTTGGAGAAAGGAATGCCAGATCTTTATTCACTGGTGTTTGGCTCAGTAACAAGTATGTTGGTTTCCAGCTGTAAAAGGATGCTACTATGGAGCCATGACAAAGGATATTCAGATAAAAACTCAAAGAGGAACTCAGAGGAAAGGTAATTGGAATATTAAAATAGTTCAGGGGCAAATGAAAGAATATGCCACAAAGAGCCAGCTCCTATGGGGAAGAACTCTGGAATTTATAAACAGAGGCAAAGAAAGCTCAGTTATATATACACTCCTGGGAAAAATATATATGGTCAGCTCACAGATGCAGTGGAATTTAACTTGACTTGAATCTGTGCCTAGAATTTTCTTTCTGGATTTTTACTGAAGAAATTAATCAGAGTTTGGTATGGATAATTTTTCCAGAGGCCTTTTTTTCCCATCTTATTGTCTATATATTTTTTTTTTTTGTTATTTACTGTTCCCCAGCTTAAGTTCTTGGGAAAGAAGGGTGCTTGGGACCCTTTGCCCTCAGAGCCCCCAGTGCAAAGGCACATGGTAGTGATGACTGTAATGACTGTCAGCAGCTATTTTTTCAAGTCTTGGATACTGAGAAATTACTAAAATTTTAACCTGAAATTAAAACATCCACACTGTAGATTTTTATTGAAGGCATAAGATGTTCAGGGCTAAGAATGGAGAGATAAATAACAGATTTTCTAAGCAGCTGAATAAGCTGAGGAAAGAAGCACTGGTTGATTTATCTGTGACTAGATCTGTTGGCTACCGCAGTTTTGTTCCTGAGATTTTGAGTAGCGTTTCATACTTCACAATCTCAGCTGCAAAACACACCCTTTCAGTGAAGATGCCACCAGGCCACAGGTTTGGCTTCTGACTGTTTCCCCACCCCACTGCCCAAGGGGTTTTTATGAACAGCTGTGACATTTTGATTTTTTTTTTCCTGCAGATGTGGATCCAGCTATTGTATAGTGCTGTCTTCTGGTGGTTATTTTGCTATGCTGTTGACTCTTACTTGGTGGTAAGAAGATCAGCTGGACTGAGGTACCAGAGTTAAAGCCCTAAATGTGTTCATTTCCTTCCAACACTCTATGTCCATGTCTGTATGCAGATATCTATCTAAATGCATAAATGGAGCTTGTGCATCATCTGATGTCCACATGGAGTGAGTGTACTAAGTGCTTGGATTGCCAGGGAAGTGCTCAGGTATGGGTTTACTTGTGCCCATCTGGCATTTAAATGTAGCTGAGTTTGTTTACAAATCAGCTTAAGTTTTGGTGCTACCAACTTCTTTGCAGCAAGATACTGTTTTCGACCCTGCTCCATACCTGAAATTGGCTCTTGTGGCAAAAACAAACAAACAAAAAACCATTACCCTGAAAATGAACAAATGGAGAGGATAGTGCTGGTTTTTGTGTAGTTCATTCTCCAGGAATTTTTCTCAGCTTTTCTATTTTAGCTACTTTTTAGTATTATAATAATTACACTCCTGATTGATTGCATTTGCAGACCTTTTAGGAAGAAAAGAACATGTGCTTGCTGTACATTTTTCTGCAATACCTATAACTGGAGAGCCTAAGCACTTTGGAAAAAAACACACCAGACATAAAATACATAGTATTTCTAAGTTGCTGTTAGGAGGGCAAAATGACCTTCAGCTGCCCCTGCTAACCACAGAATTATGTGATAATGTACCCAGATGATACCGAGTAATCAGATACTGGAGACATGGTTCATTTGGCAGATGTTATCAAAATGGGGATTTTTGAGTTCCAGCTAGACATAACCCCTGCCTGTGAATGACAAACCTTATTTTGTAAAGTCATAATTCTCTAAAGCAACTGGGACTGGCTCCTTCCCCCACAACTGTTCATGGAAAAAAAAATATAGGTATATGGCTCTGATTATAAAATCAGGGTAGTCGTGCAACCAGATCTGTCACTCCTTAAGACAGGAGCTGAATCTGAATAAAAGTTACACATAATGATTTGCAAACTGCTAGAGGGTAGTTTATGTGACTGTTTGGCTCCTTTATGTCTTCATCTCCTAACCTGCATTCCATAGGAAAAACTGAAAGATGCAAGAGGCCTTCTGGAGATGTGGGGATAGGGGGAAGCCTTTCCATGCTATAGGCTTTGACTCATGCTTTTCCTGAAGGAGGCTCGTGCTCCGCCTGCTCTCCTCAGTTACTGTACTGCCTATCTTGTTCGCACCATTTCCTACCTCTAAAGATCTGTTTGCACAAGGGGCCAATTTTTATGTTGCAATGTGGAAAGCATTAGGCCTATTACCTTTAACTTGTGTCCTGTTCGGTGTGCTTCCAGCACGATAGTCCTGTACCACATGATGACCTGGGGCCTCGCGGTTCTGCTCTGTGTGGAGGGGGTCGCGCTGCTTTACTACCCATCTCTTTCCAGGTAAGCAGGAGTCTGGAAACAGCCTGCGAAATAGTATCACTCTGTGAACACATGTGAATGTTCTTCAGTCTGCTCGAGAGACACGCATCTGAAGCGTGCCTCAGTGAGTTAGCTCAATCCTCCAAATATCTGCCTGGGTTTTTGGTGGGTCCTTAAGGCAATGCAGCCCCTTAAGGATGTTGCAGATCTGTGATATAGCTCTGCTATGAGCTACTGGAGCTCACGAAGGCCTTGTGAGGGCAGATGGGCTGAACAAGGCCATCACAGGCAGGGAGTGCCTGTCCCATCCCCCTGCTCTGCGTTCCTGGTTCTGGGTTGTATTTGTTTCTTTAAAAGTGAGAAAATATCACGAATGTTAATTGTCAGCTTTGTGACCCATGTGAGTTGGCTGAATTAGAAGTTTAGCATCTGGTTATTTTATTTATTTATTTATTTTTAACTAAAATTGAGATAGATAGAAAAGCCTGAACTACCACGTGTGGAGGAAAAAAAAAAAAGTGAACAAGCTCTGATGATTTCTTTTCAGCTGTGAAAATGGCCTGGAGCATGCAGTTCCACACTACATCACAACCTATGCCCCACTCCTGCTAGTGCTGGTGGTCAACCCAATCCTGTTTAGAAGAACAGTATCAGCAGGTAGGCTTCTAACGGCCATCGTGCATTGGTATGTGGTATTTAGCAAAATAATAGTAATGCATAAAGGGTTGGTCCCTTGCTAAGTCCTAAGGGATACAGCAAAGAAAGGGAGGGAATTGCCTATTGAAGAAATAAGACACCATCTAGCTGGGAAATTTGCCCTGGAGACACACTTTGGTCATGCACTCAAGTTATGCTGTTATAAAACTCTACTGCAGACAGGCAAAGCTGTTTCTATGATGCACAGTGACTCTTGATTTAAAATATTTCAGAGAAGTGTAACATGGAGGTTTAACTAGTGCAATAATGGTACCAACTTAGACTTTGCAATGTAATTTTACCTGCTGTAGAGATAACGTTGGTGAGATCTGATAGCTGAATTAGCTTCTCTGCCGCTCTGTTAAAAATAATGAAATGTGATCAGAATTTTGCTACTCTTGATTCTAAGATTATGAAATAAATGGGAGCTGTATACAATCATTTGGGGCCTTGACATCCCAATTTAATTTACTCTCCAGTGCATTGAAGAAATGATCCTGAAAGAAAAAGCCACTGATTCAATGAATACTTTGCAAGTAATATTACCAGTGCTAGATGTTTTCAGTACCTGAATTCATACTTGTCATCTACACATTAGATATATAAAAAGCCAGCAATAGAAGACATCATATTCTAAGTTCAGTTTTCATCCAGTCTACCTTACATTCCTCTGCAGTATCATTTTCAAATGAACAGCTGGACAAATCTGTGAAATATTTTTTATACCTGGTTAGTTCTACTGTGGCACCTCCTATATGTTTCATTTAGTCAGAGACCCAGTGTGCCAGACATTTGGTACATATATTAAAAGGTAACCCTTATTTGCATCATTGTATTATATCATTCTTGTGATCTATGCAAAGAATTGCATTTGAGCCCTCACCCATTTATACAGGAGAATGTTTTCTATTCAGACTAAAATAGGATATGTTTTAGCATAAAGAAAGAAAGGAATGAACCCAAAGCCTGGGCCAAAATGTTCCATAAGCAAATATAAGCCTTAACCTATAAAATGCTCATTATCAAAAATATGTTACCCTCTGCAATTTGTAAAAAACAATGAATTGATAACTACATTCAGCATTAGCTACTATTTCGTATGGTTTGAGGGCACAAACATATTTTAGAGCACCTACTTGATAATTGGTAAACTTATCTTCCATATCATGCTTCAACCCCAAGCAACTGAAGTAACTAGTACCCAGACAAGCGAGTGCTAGTGATACAGCAAGCTAGAACAAAATATTTTTCTACAGTTATCAGCAAAGGTCTTCAGTGATAAAATAAATAACGAATGTGCATACATGTGTGATATGTATCTATGTGTGTGTGTCTGTGCTTTATGGTAAGTATGTTAAATGTTTGTTGAAGTATGATGTCTTACATTTCCTTGCTCTGAAGTGAACAAGCACTATTTTCTCAAACAACTCCATTTCAACTCTAACAACTTAATGGTTTCACTCCATTCTCTAAGTACAGCAATAATGAAGAAAAGGACCAATAAGGAAGAAAACACATGAAAGTCTTCATGATGTATTCTATTAAAAAAGAGAAAACCAAGTGAAGATGTAACTATGACTTAAAGAGCAAAGTCTTTTCATTGACTATAGATGATAGTGAAAGAAGGATTGCACTTGAACTTAAATAAATGCAGTCAAAGCAGGAGCGGGAAAACCTTTAGTATGGCAAGAGTTAGTAAAGCACTGGAATAGCTTGCTTGAAGAGGTCTTTGAGTCTTCCCCATTTTTCAGCAAGCTCTTTAAGACTGGAAACAACACACCTAGGTATAATTGTCACGCTCAGGGCCAGGGAAGGGATTGGATAATCTCTCAAAATCCATTCTTTCTATGGGAAAACACACAGTGAGTATGTTTGTATTTGTGCATATGTATATTCTAGTATGTGACATGACTGTCTATTTTGCTGACATCACATTTCATGGCACACGCATCACACACAAGTTTCAAAGGTTTAGCCATGGCTCTAGCAATTGCACAGCTAAATGAAGCTGTGTGTGGCATAGGATGCAATGTATTCTGCCCTAGCGTAAACATCATATATTGTATTATACCGCACGTCAGATAAAAGTTTCAGGCACTACTTTTTAATTGTAAAAGATTGTTGGCCATACTATTTTCTCTCTTCAGTGGACTGAGAGAGGAAAGAAGACATAGTGGAATACCACCCGTGTTAGGAATCCGTAATAGATGTGGTTATTTTCCCTGAGTATTAGGCTCCGTGTTAGATTGCTTGGTGATGGTCTGAATCCAGCTTGGATCTAGCTCTGAAATGCTGCTAGGGATAAATCCATTTCTTTCTTTGATATCCTTTTTGCAGACATCTGTTTTCTGGATCCCTGTGCTATAAATAACAAGATGCATGTATGTTAATGAACACAATTGTATACTTTCCAGTTGCCTCCTTACTGAAAGGGAGACAAGGAATTTACACAGAGAATGAAAGACGCCTGGGCACAGAGATCCAGATCCGCTTTTTCAAAATCATGCTGGTATTCATTATATGGTAAGGGGGTGCATTATTTTATTTGGAATTACTTTTCTTTTTTTTGTTTGTTTGTTTGTTTTTCAACTGGAGACACTCAGGAATAAAAATAAGCCCTGATAGCTTCCTTCAATTTTTGTCAAAGGTAAAGCTTCTAAGGAACGAATTCACAAACTAACCAAAGCAGCAGTGTAGCATAACAAGGCAGTAAGGGAATGATAAAAATGTTTAAGAAACAGGGAGAACAGTAACTCCTAGAAACAAGAGAAAAAAAACCAAAATGAATAGCTGTCTGGAGCAGCAGCTTTCCAATACTGTGAGCTGATAGACAGCTCTCTGCACTCAACATTTCTGAGAGCCCACTCCCTTGCCATCCAACATGGCATTGGAAACCTACACCTTGCCATCCAATACGGCATTGGAAACCCACAGTATAGCTTCTAAGGCTGGCTTAGGGCTGTGGGCTGTGGTTATATTACACAACTGCCTCTACAGTCTGTGTCTGCAGATCACAAGTGTGAGAAACAAGTGCTGCGTATCAGCTGGAAACACAGGGACTGCCGTGGTTACAGTATAGAAAAGAAACATCTCTGCTCTTTGAATTTTCTGGTCATTCAGTCTCTTTCCTGTGCTTCCATCTTCTTCCATGAAATAGGACTTTCAAGGCAGGGCAGGAAAGTAGTAGAAGAATCATAGAACCATTATGGTTAGAAAAGATCTTCAAGATCATCAAGTGCACCTGGACTCGGGGAGTGTACTCATCCTTTTCTCCAAATCCCTTGCTTCTCTGTTCTAGCAACGCAATTCAGTGCAGATAATTCTGGGGTGGTGGCTGGAACTGAAGGTGTTGGATGCACACAACATAACTGAGCAGAGCTGGAGCCTGCTCTGGAGGCAATGTTTTCTACTGCAGTCTCATAATTGTAACACAGTAGTAAGGGCTCCAGGAGGGTTGTTAATCCAGTCTACAGGGGTCTGTGCAAGGAACTGGCAAGAAGGGATCATAAAGTGTTTGCCATATAGTGTTTGCTATTTACATAGATAACACAAACAGCAGGAAGAGGAAAGAAGCTGCGCTGGAGTAGAGAAATGGCTTTAGATTTAGCAGTCTGTACAACTATTTAATATAACAGTACTTAATAATTTAATATTAACTTATATACTTAATATAACTACTTAATATATGCATACATTAATGCATGTTATATTGCTTTGATAGATGGAGGAGGGAGGAAGGCTGTCATTCCATCTTGTCCTGGCTGCTGTGTGCTGAGGGCTCTGGAGGGAAACTCTTTTCTTTGGAGATTCCTGCACTTGGGGGGTTTCTGCTGTGCAGGGTGGGGTGGCCGGAGGGAAGGAGAGCGCAGTGAACCGGCCTGCAGCCCCGCTTTCTGGGAAACTGCTGAAAATAATAAGGGGCTTCAAGGCTCCAATATCCAGGCTTCAAAGTTATGGAAAGAAAAGAGCCTCATTTCAGAGCCCAGAGGGACTAAAAAAATGCAGTTGCAACCTAAGAAATTGTGGCCAACTTGCTAGCCTGGGAGCAAGCATCAAAGAAGGGCTCAGTTCCACAAAGACCCAGTGGGGACATTTGTTTAATTCCATTCTGTCTCCTTCTGTGTTTTCCTATTAAAAGTCATTCTGCTTTAATCTTTACAGTTGTTCTTCTGATAAAACATCATCTTTAGAGTGCCGAAACTCTCTTAAGGGTCACCATGCAGTAGGACTGAGGCAGTCCTTGAAGCCCCAGGAAACTGGCATGTCCATCACAAAGTTCAAACATGAGACTAGTTAGCCAAGGATAGAAGGGCAGCATGGGATTAAAATAGAGGCCTGAAAATCTGGGAGAGAAGAGCAGAAGGTTTTACACTCTGACAGAAACATAATCATAGGAAGGACATGTATAAACTCTATGAGAAAGTGTGACGGGTTTTTTGAAGCTGCAGTCGAAATCCAAAGAAAGGCTGTTGTGACTGTTTGGAAATCATAAGAAGTAATAACCTTTTTAGTTTAGCCCTTATTTAACACAGAATATTCACAATGTCTTTTTCACAGCCAGAGGTTTGATTAAGGTCATCCTTCCCTAGAACAAACATGCCCTTTATTCCTGGAGTGTGTTGGCATTTTTAAAGATTTTAAAGTCCAGCTTTAGCTGTTTTACTTTATTTTACAGAGTTTTCAAAGTCTATTCTATTCTAAACTGAAATTTTAGGATATTTAGGGGACTTGATTTTCTGCAGTCTTTTACAGGATGTTTAAAAATATATTTGGCTTCTTCATCTGTGAATGTCTTCTTTTTGGTGTCTTATTTTTAAGACAAAAAGATATGCATAAACTTAAAAATGTTTTGTTTTCTTCCACTTCTTTCTTTCTTTCTTCTGAAACAGCTGGTCAGCCAATATCATCAATGAGAGCCTTTTGTTCTACCTTGAAATGCAGCCAGATATCAATGAAATACCCCTGAAAAATATTAGAAATGCTGCACTGATCACATGGATTATAATGGTAGGTTAAGTATAACATTTCCTAATCCTGTAAAATAGTCTTGTAAGGCTGGAGGAATAGTGCTAGTATACTGTGTGGTTGTAATTTTGGAAATAAAAACACTTTTTCAGTCTAAAAAGATCAGGGGGGAAGAGCATAAAGTAGGAGCTGTCTCTGGGAGTGCTTTTTACATGTATTTTTCACTAAGCCAAAAGGTACCAAAGAAAAACTTTGTTTTTTCCCCTCTGTTTCTGGAGTATGCTTGCTCTCTCTGAGTAATTTGTATCCATTTGAAGATGCAGAATAGACCGTTATAACGAGTTCTGGTCTAACCCTTCTAAACCTCTGTTATAACACAAGCTACAGGATTTCAGTTCCCCTAAAACATGGTTATTTTATGATAATTCTTTGTTTGTAATGAGGGTTTTCTATATTGCTGATTTATAAAAATAATTAAATGTTATATCATAATATATGGATGATTATTTGAGGGAAAATGCATGAAAAAATCTTGAAAGCAATGGACAAAAAGATAACTGTAAGATACTGGACTCTAACTGTGTTCTGCCCTTATTTATCCCTTTGGAATATTTGATGGTGGATTTTCTGGAGATGATAACCTGGGTTTCTGTTTCAAGAGAGTTTGTTTTAGAGCTGTCATACCTGTAAGGCATGAACACACGTAGTGTAGTTAAGTCCTTGTGCCACTTTGTATTCAAGGGTTAAGTATTGCAGTTCATTCATCTGACAGGGATATTGCTCTTGTCTACCCGCAGAGCAAGAGGTCAGGTCTAGGAACTGAGCTGTATTTTAAACTGGCTGTGAAGATAGTTTTCTGTTTTTATGTGGGAAAAATTGAACTATCTAAAACCATCTACTTGCCAAGAATCACCAGGGAAGGGAGATGATTTTTTGGGGAAATCTTTTTTTTGTGTGTGTGCATCTTCTCTTTTTTCCTTCAGATTTGATGGACAGCCTTACCGACTGAGAAATCTGCAGCAGTTCCAGACAGATCAATTGCCAGTGTTTAACAAAACCTGACCACATATACTAATGTCTCATCTCATATATTTGGCTTGGCTTCTAGTGAAAAATATAATATTTGCTTTTGTGAGTTTAAAAGTGTACAATATGTGAGGAATGTCACAACTCACTGGGGTCCTGAGCAGATGAAATTCTTGCTAGAAAACCATTTGGCCGTAGTGTTGATGGGACAGCCTCATCATATGGAAAAAAATAGTTTGTAGTATCTCACTCAGATTTGTTCCTGTCTACAGTAGCCGCAACCTACACTTTTATTTGGATGCAAATACTGTCTTTGAAAAGCAATGGTTCAGAGTAAGGAAGTTGCTAATTCACACTGAATATTTTTCTGGAGTTCAAGTTCCAGCCTTGCTAAGTGTAACTGCTATTCCACCTCTCCTCTTTCCTAGGGTGTCCTTAATCCCATGCAAGGCTTCCTCTTCACATTAGCTTTCTATGGCTGGACAGGATGGAGAGTGGACCTGAAATGGCAAAAGAGAGAAATACCCTGGGAATCGATGTCCTCATCGACTGCAGGTGAAAACGCGTATCCCTCACCGGTGAACTACCAAAGCAACATCCATGATTCAAAGAAGATATCGACAAGCGACAGCCAGCAGACCGATGAGGCTATCAGTATGTTGTCTGAAGGTAATACTAGTGGTGATGACAGGTTAGCCAGGAGCTCTCCCATCTACCAGGGGTGGTAGGTTATAGGTGCAGGGCTGAATCTTGCTTCCCCCTGTTGTGAAGACTCATAAAATCATGGCACTCTGTGAACCATTGCTTACTCTGGAATTAGGTACGTGGCTAATGTTTTGATGTCATTTCTTGCAACTTTTGTGTGTGTGAGACAGAGAGAAATTATGGATAATGTCTTCTAGAGGATATGTAGAAAGCTACAAAGACCTGATCATTTCTTTAGCTGGAATATATCTCTGCAAGGACGTGTGTTACTTATTATTCATTTTCCTCCGTTTTATTTTAACCTTTCTTGTAACCTTCATGCAGTAGAAGAGTCTTTTGTTTAAATAAATGTACTATTCATGTTTTGGGTTTTTAAATGTGTTCCCTTACTTGCCTTGCTCAACATAAACCTCCTTACCCAAAATTACAGCTCTAGGATTTCTGAAACATGCTTTTTTAACCATGACTGCTCAGATCATCTGGATTTACTTTGCAAATGCTATCTCTTAATGCAAATGTTCTCCTTACTAGCCATGGTTGTGTTAGTGAAGTGGGTGTAAGGATCAAACTGAACCCAAACTTAAAAAAAAAAATCCCAATTTGGAGTTTTCCTAACTCAGCAGTGAAATAGAAGCCCATGGTTGATCAGGGCCTGCAAAGTGGACCTCCCGACGGGCTTGTGCACTGTGCTTGCTTCATGATGTGGGACAGTCTCAGAGAACCTGAATTGGTTTCTTTTTGAGTGAAACCTTTTATATCCTGCATGGGTCATCAAGGGCATGCCACCTGGGCATCTCAGACTAAGACTAGATCTATTCTGAAGTTTAAATAAATAAATACATGGAATTAAATGGAGTGGATGTCAGATCCTCACCACTGTGTCACTGAACAGATAACCCCCTGTTTGCCTAACCCGCTAGTGTAGATATAGCCCCACAGGGAGATGAATATTCCTGAATACTTTGATCCAGATGCACCACTCACTCCTTATGTAGATACTTGGGAGAACTAAATAGTAGTCTTTAAAGTAGCATGCGAGCTTGCAGAGTAGTTGTGCTGTAGTCTCTTTGAAAGCTGGGCAATCAGAAATTTATTCCTTCCTACTGTGGTTACCAGGTAGGACCTAAGTCAGTTAAAGGGATGTGTTTGAGAGTTCTTGGAAAATGTAAATTTAAAAACAAAAAAGTTGAATCCAGGCACCGGAAGAAAATCGTTGCCATTAAATCTACGGAATTTCATAAATTCAATATCTGCACACCCAGGGCAATGCAGTTAACCCTGTTTTACCCTATTATCTCTCTATTTAACATATTCACCCTCTTTGCACTCCCAGCCAAGTTATCAAATCTAACCATAAAAGGGGTTATAGTTCCTTGTATTAACCAAAACTTATTTATATGCCTTTTAATTTGAAAACAAAAACTTCCGGAAGTGTCATGTCATATCCTGCAATAATATCCTTTAATAATCCTGCAATCCTATCTTAAACACTCCTACCATTCTTTCTGTTGGTTGAAAGGGGTTTATGGGGCTGTATTTGACTCACTAGCCTCATACACATATTTACTATTTTACTTGGCTGAATGTTCAGGCTAATTGTAAAGCAGAAATATGAGCATTAACAAAATAAATTACTTAAATAAGCAGACTTCTTACATACAAAAGCTCTGCCATATGTCTAAATAGCAAAATCCTAAGCACATCTCTCATTAAGCCCTTCCTCTAGTCTTGTAGACCAAATACATGGAGAAAGTGAAATGCTTGATTTGCGGGTACATTTTTTCTCCCTGTATAACAGGACTTTCCCTCAGAAGTAATCAATTTCTATTTGTGATGAAAAATAATCCAAGCTTGTAAAAATCTCTTAATTTCCATGGAATCTCTAAGTTTACTATAGTTCTATCTGGAAATCACTAAACCACATGATAGCTAGTTTAATTTTAAGAATGGCCAGATGATGTCTGGGTCAGCGACCCATTAAAGAGCAAGCATGCACATGCACTGAAGCTGATAACCGAGGGAGAGGCAGTCTGGAGAAATAAAATAGGGAGCACAGCCAAATCTAGGGATGCATTTGAATAAGTCTTCCTAAGCATTTTATGCATTTTATACACTTCATGCACCGGAACATGCTCTGAGCTCTGTGGAAAATTGGTTCTCTCCCACCATCTCACTGAACAAGCTCTTAAATGTTCAGGCAGAGAAGATCCTTAGAGAGTTTGTAGGCAAAATTCTCAAAGGCCTCCTCCAACAGACATTCTCAGGCATTAGAAAATTCAATGAGTGCCAGAAACATTTGAGTTTACACTCAAAAGAAACCCCCCAATCAAACTAAAATGCTTCTTTTTTCTGTTCAGCTAGCTAGAATTAGTTGTCTTTCTACTTCTCTCTAGCTACTGTGAGAGATTGAAAGGTCCTGGGGAAAAACAAATCTAGAAATCCTACTGAGAAAGAAAAACATTGTAATCATCCCTTGAACTGTGGCAGCCCCATGATTTAAACTGTTTTTCTAAATTGTCTACCCTGGCCTCTGCTAGGTAAGTTTAAATATGCCACAGAGAGAATACTTCCTGGCCTGTAAACTCACACAGATCCATCTAGGGAAAGCCCCAGCAAATGCTAGGGAATTCCTGTGTGTGCTGTTTAATTGACAGCCCTGAGAAGACGTTTCACATCTGATGATTAGAGCAAGGGTTAAAGGCAGAAGGAATGTGCAACGTCCCCAGAGCCCCTGCAATCAACGGGGCCTTGTGAATTTGCTCAAACACAGTGTGACAGAAACATCAGCGAGACCCAAAGGTGGCATCCACATGCAGGTTTCTAATTAGCATTGAAATATTTGTGTCTTAGTGGCAGAAAGCTCAACTCTAAACCTCAGCTGGAATGTCTTCCGTGACAGGAAGACTTTAGAGTCCTGAAAATTAATTAAGGCTTCTTGGTATTTTGTGGAAAGTGATTATTTTGAGAAGCGTTTAGCTGATAAAATAACTTTGATTGGCCCCTTAATGCCTCATACCTCGTGGGTATTTACACTGATGCTACTGAAGCGTTAGTAAAGGTGAACACTTAGTGACTCCAATATGTTGTTAGGCATATATATATATTCTTTTTTCAGAACTATACTGTGCTTGCGTTCTCTATTTATCTCAATTTTTTTTTTTTTGGGTACCCTTAGCAAGACTAGGCCCAACTGGTATAGCGTAGAGTCTTAGCAAGAATCCAAACAGAGTGAAAGAACTGTAGTGTTTCAAATAAATATTTTTAAAAGTTTAACTGATAGTTATCTATATCACAGTAGGTGCCTTTTGGGTCCTTGTTTTTAGAAAAATCTGTGGTATATCTGAGAAGTCAGAGCAACACAAAACTAGCCCATGTAGCTAGCGCTGGAGTTGAGCTGGGTGCGGGCCAGGGCTTACATGATGAAGCCAATGTAGCACAGCGGAGTAGAAAATAGCAATGCCAGCTTGTGTGGGTGTTTACCAAGAACGTGTTATGTGAAATTAATAGAGACTGGAGGTAATGAGGGAGAATTCCCAGGTTGGGCTGCATTTGTTCAGAGTGAGGAAACAAGGGTTTTGGAATGAAAGTGCCCCGACTTTCTCCTCCCTCTTTCCCAAATGAATCAGCTTCTAATTAAGGTGAAATGAGCAATACTGCTGAAATAAATATAGCCTATGGACACTGAGTAAGGGATATATTCTGCATAGCTTCTAGATAAGATTAGGATTTTGCAGACAGAAAGTCTCAGCCACTAGAAGTCAGAATGGTTCCAAAATTTAGTTCAATGATTCAATCACTTGAAGCAGACTGTGATCAGCTGCTGCTTAAAAGTTTGGCTGATAGTGCATAGTATTTTGCACTTACTTAGCAGAGACAGAGAAATGGCCTGACTAGCAGTGATTGCTTTTCTGCCTCAGCAGATAGTAGCTCTCCACCCAATAAGGGGTTTCTCCTAGCACATTTTTATGCAAAGTCTTCTGTGGAAAGAATGCAGCTTTTTCAAAGGAAGCTGTGCAGGAAGCTGTGCAGGAGTAAAGTTTTGAGTTCGCATTCCCCTTTTGTTTGGTAAATAAATTAAAGATCTGCTGGCTTGATGAGGAAATGTGTTTATTTAAGGAGGCATTTGTGTCTCAAGAAGAGCTTCAGTTCTTGTGGTATAAATCCAGTTTTACTTTAGATCAAAATGAGTTGTCCTGCAATGAAGTGTGTTGGCTTCTTTGAAAAGAGATCATGGCTTTAATTCAGTTCGCAGCACTCAGGTCTGCTTTTCACAGGAACTGCCCCAGGTGTCGCCTTTAATGACAGTTTCATCAGATGCAAGAGCTGATGCCCTTTGGGACCCGATCTGGGCTCTATCCCTTGCCCTGTTAGATCTTTTGGGCCAGGTATTAGACACAGACGGGAGGGACAGACACTTGCATTTCTAGTCTGAGAGTTGTCAGGAATCTGGAGACTGAATCCACCTAGGAAAATCAGAGAGCAGGTTGTTTTGCCCTGAATCCCCTGGCAGCAGCTGATGGCTGTGGACACCCCAGCGGAAGGGAACTCCAACTGGAAACGTGAATCCACTAAGGCTGGAAAATACAACTTCCAGCAACTGTGTGCATTAGTGTGTTTCCATCTATAGGGCCTCTGAATGAAAGTCATTGTGTCACTTACTTATATTTTCAAATACGAGGATGGCATGTTTAAAATCTGAATAAAACGTCAAACTGACAACTGGCAAATCTGTCTATGAAGCCTGATTAAACTGGACTGTCTTTTCTATCCCAATGGTAAAAAAATAGTATTTCTAGTAAAAACAAACAAACAAACAAACCAAAACAGACAATTTGTGAAAGAACACCAGTCAGCTGGAAAAAAAAGAGTCTAAGCCCAAAAAGCCCACAGAGTAAGTTGCGTAGCCTGCGTATAGCAGAAAAACAATGAAATCCACATAAACTTTCATTAGAAATAGATACATGAAAGGATTATTTATCATCCCAGTATAAATGAGAAGATCCTGAAATGCCTTTCAGGATTCCACCTCTTTTCAACAGCGAAAGGGCAAGCTTATCACACTTTCGTCCTCAGGCCTTACTGTAAGCCAGGCCCAGGTGCACAGGCAGCAATACCGCACTCCCGTCACCCGGCGGCAGGGAGGAGCAGGGGACAAGCTCGCTTACGTAGTGGACGTGTTCCTGTTAGGAACGCGATGAGAAAACTTTGTGCTTCTCCTTCCTACAGGGAACTCCGGGCTCATGGGGCTCATCGTGTTTTGGGATCCTAGGGTTTTAAAATGCAAGCCCTTTAAACTTCCCAGCACCTCTGCAGGTGAAATTTGGATCTTGTCAAAGCAGGACTTCGCTTTGAGCTCACATAGGGTGCTGGAGGCAGCAGGTTCACGCTGAGCAGAGGGACCCTGCGTGACTCTGGGGCTCTCTTTGTGCCTTGACGATTCCCTGGGGTGGGATTCAGGTATCTGACCATGCCTCCTTCTGGTTTAAGGGCTGTGAAAGAGCTGTCACTGTGGGTTCCCTCCCTCTGGGGGGCAGGACTGTCGCGTTTTGGTGAATGAAGATCATGGTTGCGGCCTACTCCTAGCCTAGTCTTCCACCAGCTTCCTGTGTCTCTCATGAAATACTTAATGCTGACACACAGTGTAGCAGAGGTGGACATGGAGCATAAGTGGGTTCTTCCTTGGGTTCTTCTTCTCCAGGTACCTTTAAACAGGAGAGGTAACTTCATATCAGTGACATACCCATCAGGCCCTTGAAAGAGCTTGAAAATGTAAAAGCCAAACTACCGTACTTACTTAAAAAGATAGGTTTTTTTAAGGGCAGGTGTTTAAACCAGTGAGGTGGTTTTTGTCTGTGCAATGTAGGGAGCGAGCTCTGCCTGGGCTGTGGGGAACGGGTTGTCCTTGCCTTGTCCCTGCCCCAGAGGCCTCCAGCCGAACAGCGGGGTGAGACACTGGCGGCCTTATGGAGCTGCAGCCTCATGATAACATCAGCTCACGTCTGCCTGCTGCAGAAGATCCTGAATGAATTTCCTTGGGAAAAAAAAAAAAAAGGAAAGAAAAAACAAATCAAGAGCAACAATCTCCTTAGGCTAACGCACTCAAGAAAGGACCACATTTTATGTGGAAAAGAAATGGACTTCTCCCAGCGCGGCCCTAGTCATGTGCCTCCATGTGACAGAGGACACAGCGTTCCTCCTGCGAGTCCTTTGCTCAGGGCACTGGACATGACTTGCCGGTGGTCACAGGCATTCCCACGGCCTGGCTAAGTGCTCCGCTTAACAGCCCGGCTCTGCTAAGCCAGGGTGCAAGGCAGTCAACCATTGCCCAGGAATGCAATTACGCAGAGAACAATAAGGCAGAGGCCAGATAAGGAGGCTTTTTCCCTGTTTCCTGGGGATTTTACAGTCTAAAAGCCGGTACGCCAAGATTCTTTCCATACAATGCTTGAACTAAAAAAAAAAGTCTACATTGGCAAAATATTTTTGATAATGTTTCTTTTTAATATAAATGTAATAGAGCCCTTTCTCTTTTGTTTGCTAGGTTCTGATGCTAGTACAATTGAAATCTACCTCTCGAGTGAGCTATATGACTTAAATGGTAATGAGGCTGATGTTGAATGACTGGAAAGCTGTGAGAGGCATGAGCGGGTGAGCTGAAGACACAGTCTCAAGGACCTGAGAACTGTTTCCCTGTTATTTCAGATGTGTTCCTCTTCCTCCAGGGTCGAGGAGGTGGGACACCCACACCCCTGCACTGCTCCTGCTGCTGCTGCTGCCACAAAGCCAATCCCACCCTGCCCCGTCCCGGTGCTTCTGCTCCGCTTATAACGCTAAATACTCCTTGGCTAAAAGTGGGGGAGGGAAGAAAAAGCAACAGATGCTGGCCCTAAAACCCAGCCGGGGGAGATGCACGTTCAGCCCCAGGCTCTGCTCATTTTCACATCATGGTGTGTGGGTGCCCGTGTGTGCTCGTCACTTGTGCAGCTGTGGCCCTGGGATCAGGGCTCCGCACCGGACACCATCCAGCTGTCCCGTGTGCCGACAAGGGGACCTCTCTAGTCACAAGGCTGGTGGCCTCGGTGCTGGAAAACTTTTACGCTTTTTCTTTAAAGATTTTTTTTTCATGGCACCTCTGCTAGATACTAGTTTTAGTGGCATGAATGAAAAACAAATGTTGTCATGGCAGAAATATTTCATTTTTCTTCCTTTTCTACATGCAAGACTGGTGTGTAACTTCCCTTTGCAGTATCAGTTACGCCATACCAAGGCCTCAATCTTCATGTGATAAGCAAACGGCAGCCCCCACATTACATGAATGTAAGAACTACATGGCTCGGTGTAGGTGTTACACTTGTTCTCATGATGTGCTTGACATCCCTACGCTTATACTCACCTGTGAACTTATCTGAGCTTCAGCACACAGTTACTTCACATACTGACCAAGCTAAGTGAGCTAAGACACAAATATTATGTTAATACTCATGGGTAAAATTGTCTTTTCATGGTGAAAAAAAAAGAATTGGTTCAAAGTTCTGCTTTACTGTATACAATATGACTTGTATAGTAGTATCCCTGGGAAAGCTGCTTAAAGTTCAGCCTATTGACTATCACTTTTTGCACTTGTTGTTCTGGTACTTTTAGCTAAAGAAATCGGGTTCTGATGCCCTATATCTTGCACTGATAGGAGATAAAAATGCAATTATTATTTAACTTATTCTGTCAGGATATCACTATTTAGATCTTTAGAAAAGGGACTATTCTTATTCCAGACCCAAAGAGTGGCTAGAAAATGGTAGGACTTCCTTCTCGTCTTGTTTTTTTAGAGATTGGTGAAATAAACTGATAAATATTAAGGCCCAATACACCTTTAAAAAAGTAAATACATACACAGAATCATACACACACACACACAACTGTGCACATCTTAATCTTTAATACTGTAACTTTATATTTTATGATGAAGGGTGAATTATAAATGATATGTTTTTGGTTTTATAACATTGCCGAAATAAAAACAGGCTGGAGTTTAGTGTTTTGTATTAATTGGAATTATTTTTGCTAGTCACCAGGGATGTATGCAATTAATATGTCAGCTTCACCAGTCTCAGGAGGTCTCAGGAAATTTGGGCAGTCATGAGCGATGGAGGCTAGTCCAATACCAACAACAGCTTGGCTTACCAGATTTGCCCTTCCAGGTATATTGAGTCCGTGTTTTTTGTTTGTTTGTTTGTTTGTTTTCAGACTCTAACAGAGTCACAAGGTTTTTTTCTTCGTATCCTCTTTTTTTTTTTTTTTTTAACCAGTCTATCTAGGAGATCTAGCATTTTGTCACACTCTGATGTTTCTTGCCTGCAAAGAGATTTTATAGGCCATGTGCCATTCTTCAGAAATGTCTCTCTACTGAAGAAGTAGAATTGCCATTCTAGAAGTTGGTGGATTGGCAAGATTTCAAATTTTCACTGCTCTCGTTTGTGTTCTCTGTCCAAGTCATGAGACCTGGACCTTTAATGTGGCCAGGAACAAGAGGAGCTCCTCTCTGTAGCTGCGTGTCTATGTGGGCTGCCTGCCCTGCAGGCCCTGCCTGTGTCATCATCTTTGAAGGAAGGTCTAGGGGTGGGTAATTAGACATGGTGATCTTATTGGACAAATCTCTCAAGATTCTCCCCAAAGTAGCCTCCAGAAAAGAATCCATGCCCAGGACTTCCAACGTCACAGGGCTGAGGTTTCCACTTGGGCTTCTGGTGTTCTGAGGAGACCAAGAATCCGTCTGCCTCAAATGCAGTAACTGAAAGTTTTATCTGTAATGGCTTGAGACCTGTTGCAATCACTGTCAGGAGACCATGTGCTGCAGAATCATAGAATCATAGAATTATAGAATGCTTAAGGTTGGAAGGGACCTCTAGAG